ACAGAAATTAGAATCTTCTAAAAGCAACCTGGAATTCTCTACATAACAGGATACACACTTGATTTATGGTATATTGAGACTATCTTTACATTTACAAAAATCAGATTCATAATGCCAGTGACATTTTCTAAGCTAGAAGGAATTGTATCAGGCTAAGAATAATTTAATTATTCTTCTTGTTCTGTGCCGTTTATCTTCAACAATCAGAGCTAAGTGAATATTTCAAGATCTAGGAAAACTGAAAATGAAGAGATAGGTGAGATCCCAAAGCTCTGCATCTCAGGGTTGGTAAAGTTATACTGTTTTACTGTTACAGGAGAAGAACCATCAATTTAGGCTTTTAATATCCTTTTAATAGCTCTTTGTCCCCCACAGAACACCATGTACGCTTGTGTACATAGTTAGTTCACTGCAATCCCAAACAGCTGAACTTATTTAGTCTTTAGTTGCAATTCCAGCCTTATTTATTAATTGAAATGGTCATAAGATACCCATTTCTCATTCTGTAATATTTACCCATACTGTTGTTCTCTTTTATTTAGGGAGATATAGCCTATTCCAATTTTAACCTGAAGTTGGAAGAGTTAAAACTCTGAATTTGATTCCTCCATTTTTTTTCCATAGTCCTTAATGAGGAAAAAAGGACCCATAACACTGCAGGCTTTTTGTGGTGTCTTACATAATCAATACATCACTGCCTAATAAGCTCCTTCACAACTGTTACACACTGGAGGCATGTCCAGCTTATTTTCTTGACTTTTGCTACTGCATCTCTCTCTAGATATCTCTCTGAAATTCCTATTAGTATTACTATGTCTTAAGGTAACGTTAAATTAGAATGCATGCAAACACTCAAAACCTAAGGCTTGGAGAAAACGGCTGCTAGCTTTTGTACAACTACAGTGTTACATTTTGGCTTGTTCAGCTGAGAGCTTTTTCAGGTTTCATGTGGTAGGTATACATCACTATCCTCATAGAATAGCCTAGAAAATCTAATAAAGATTAAAGCAATAACACTTCTGCGGAAGTTAAATAGGACTCTAGAGATAAAACTTTAAACACAAATAGTCTTTTCATAGAGCTTTACAAGACCGTATAAGTACTTCTGGAGTGCATCACACTTGCTGTTAAATATTTCTCTTTCAAAGCAGGACGCGGTTGTAACTGAAAAGGTCTGAGCAGCCAGTCGAGGACAGTGCTGAAGAATTCTATTACTAGCCATCTTCAGGTGAAGTGAGAGAAAGAAGTGTTCAGTAGGTGCTAAGCTCTGCTGAAGAAGGCACATGTGCATATGCACACATCGATGGCCACATGTATGCAGAGAAAAGCATTCACTCTAAAATTTGCCCATAAAAATGCCGCTATTAAAACCAGCCATTTCAGCAACACTGCTTTGAGTCTCCATTGTCTTCAGATCCCACAGCAAGCCTCTTCAAGAAAATAGCTGGATCAGGACAAAGCACTGGGTGTTCAGGCGCTAATGAAAATAATATTTTCAAACTGTCCCCGTAGGGCCTTCAAAACGTGCAAGAGTCTGTTGATGCATTCCATCACTTTCTTAACTTGCCAAGAAGTTAAGTCTATGAGGCTTTTGTGCTCCGCACAACATAACTTTGTTATTTTAAGGTCATTAATTTCCACCAACCCAAGGGCGGTTTTTCTGTCCCTGGGAGTCTTTTATTCTTTTAAATCCAAATCTCAGTACAAAGCTCACAGTTAGATGATGAGCAAGAAAGGGTTTGTTTGTTTGTATTTTATGTCAAGCTTTTCACTGCATCTTCTTTTAAACACACGCATTGATGCACATTAAGCACTCTAAGTATCGTTATAATGTGCATTCTGAACTTAATGGTTTCAGTACATTCTGGCAGGTTTCTTAATACTAATGATCAGCTCCTCACCAGCTGACTTTCAGCTACTTATAATTACAAAGTTATGCACTAGGTGATATTTCATTGGTAACATCTCTCACTAAACTCTGCAACTACAGCAGACACCCTGGGAAAAGCATTCAAATGATCCTGCACCTGCAGGTTTTCAAGTGTATACCTACCCACAAAAAACATTTTTAAAAGTTGCTGAAAAATTATTCAATTGATTGGACTATATAGGTATGTCACTCTAGGCCTTCCATGCAATACAAGTGCTTCAGGTAAGATCTCTTTCTGCCTGAACAGTCACTAAGTTCTACGTACGTACTGTCTCTGAAATGTAACCACTAACACGTTTTGTCACTTGGTTTCTGATAAACACACGACAGTAGGCATACAGTTATTGACTGTGAGACTGCATTCAGCTTGCCTGACTACTTGAAGGAAAATAAATACATTGTTAGTCAATTTTAGAAAGATGCATTATTTCATATATTACAATTTTCAGGCAACAAATCTCAAAGATACGAATGAATCTGACAGAAAAGTACATATGTTACTGTGAAATTAGTCTGTGAGAGACTATGCAGCCAATTGTTAAGATCTCTGTAATAGCATTTTATTCTGCTCGAAATGCATTGAAGAAGGTGGCCAAGAGAAGCAGGACACTATTAAAAGAAAGGATTTAGAGGTTCCATATGCCAGCTGAACGGCTTTCTAATACAGAAAATTGAGACTCAATAACCTGTTAGAAGAATTTTTTTAATTCCAATGAAAAACTAATTTTGTATGCAAGAATGAAGATGCTCAACACAAAATATGTATGGTGTCAAACAAGTAGTACATTGCATTTATAAATCATTAACACTGAGGGGTTGTTTTGTTTTTTTTTTGTTTTTGTTTTTAAGGAAAGTCTTATGTTTTGTAGGCATCTGAGAAGCAGGAAAACAGTCCTTTTGACAGTAATAAAGCAAAACAAACAAACGAAAAAGAAAGGAAAAAAACAACAACAAACTAGCAACATGATTTTAGAGTGATACAAGCTATCATAAAGATATGTTGAGTTACCGGATAGCCATTTCGCCCTGGTAGACCCTGGTTGAATGAGATGAAATGGTATGACACACATTAACAACACAGCCATGACATATGACATCAAAACCACGAAGCATACATTACTGACAAATTAAAATTTGTATGTCCATTACTTTATGCTATGTGAAGATATTACAAGCCAACAAATATGTAATAGGTACTATGCTGCGAAAAAAAGGATTTGGCAATGGAAGTCAGGTATCTTAACTTAAATGTTTTAAACAAAAGGCTACCGACTACTTTTGATGTGCAGTGAAATTCCTGTTATTATGAAGAGTATTATCCATATAGATAGACTGAAGGGCAATATGTAGCTAGAAGAAAAAATGTAGTAGAGCTTAGTCAGTAAGATAACAGATACATAGGCTACCGCTACAACATAGGTGCCAAAGAAGAAATTTGAGAATACTATAACTCATAAAAAAAATTGAAAGCCCCAGCCTTTGACTGTTATCATATGTGACACAGCCATCCTATACAGATAAAATAACCGCAGTATCTTTTGAGAATACAGCGTACAACTAAATTCTACGGAGTACCACGCAGCATATACAAATGCTTGCTATTTTGAATGAAAAGTATTGCCACAGTATCACAGGTGAAAACAGTAATTGAGTTCGCAACAGTTGCTCCCAGCCAGATCCTGCCTGTCAAAAAGCGAATAAAAGACGCCACCTTTTTAAATGGCTTGTAGAAAATTAAACCCTTACTGACTTTCAGCACAAAGTACTGTAGTACTTACTGAAGTACTGTAAGGCAGTTTTATACATGAGACTCAGGATTACAAATGAGATTTCATAATAATGGGTCAGCCTTTTGAGCTATTTCAGGTTTGTATTAATACTACCGCAATCAAGACTTTTTTTTCCTTAAAGGAACCTACACTGAAACAGAGTTGAAGTTGGAGACATTAATAATGAGGCGTATTTTGAACTCTCACTATTATTACTACAGGAAAATCATTTGTATCATGATTTATGGTTGTTCTTTGTGTTTCATGGGAAGACTGCAAAAGAAATTGAGAAAGCTAATATTTCTTTCAAATAAGCAGCACCATTATATATTAAGCCTGGCTTTTCATTGATGGCTTGTTAAATCAATTTGCCACTATGAACTGCTGAGCACATGGTCTTATCTTTCAAAGATAAGTAATCACTGCCCAGTACAGACAGCTTACACTTATGTCATAAGCTCACATAGCAGAAATCCAATGTTTTAATTTACTATTTTTAAATCTGTAGGATAAAATACACTGATAACCTGATCCAGTACAGGAAAACAAACAAACAAAAAAAAAAACCTCTTCAAGCAGAATAAAAAAAATACTGCTTTGGCGATCACGCTTTCACACCATATAGATGGCATAACAAACAAATGTTTGAAATACATGTGTTTACTGTTCTTAAGTTTGACTTTCAACTTACTCTGGGAACATACCACAAAACGAATAACACAAAGACTAAGAAACTTTTCTTGTAAACATGATCAGCATGAGATTCAGCCAAATACTAAACTGAACAGTCTTATTTTCTATTCATTTCACACAAGTACTTACTGGCTTTAGTAGCAATTACACCACAATGATCTGGACGGCCCATATACTTCCAAAGAACAAGGAGTTTTGACCCCAAGGGCTTGTGACAATGGCAGAGCAAGCTGCTACCAGGTAAAAGGCAGAGTGACTGAGTCTAGACTTAAGAAAGCATACTCACTTATTTTTATACTGTAGTAAAATTTTTGTTACCAAGTCATAAGCAAATGAATATAATGTACTTACATGGAATTGCGATCCAAACTGTTATCTGGAGTGCTGAATGTAAAGCTTTATAGTTTTAGATAAAATTTCCTTAAGGAACTTTCTGGCTAAATTATGCAGCTCCAAAATAATAAGCAAGTGTTTATGCTGTGTAAGTATAAACATCAAGATTCGCTCCTGTTGATACACGATCAGTTTATTGTGGTGGTAACAAAACAGGATCTAACATCGATTTCTCCCTGATTCTGGAAGAACCAACAATGTATCACTGTACTTACAGGAGGTCCTGTGGGGAGGGAGGATGGGAAAAGAGGAGGGGGAAAAAAAGACAGACAAAAAAGAATTTGTAAGCTTATGAAATTATTAAAGACAGACACAAATGTACAAACCCAAACACAAGGTCTCAGGATTGTAAGCCAGCAATGCCGCTGATGCATCGTACACATTTTCCCATTCAAGTTCTTTTGGTTTTGGCTGTGCTTTGCAACGTGCAAATACAGCTAATGCTCAAATGCATGCTCTTACCTTACCAAAGAAGTCAATCCTTCAACTAAGGTCATGCAATCTTACGAAAGTTGTTTCTCCATCCATTTCCATGCAATTTTATGCCAGGCCAAAAATACCAGCCATGGACTACAGTTTGTTTTGTCAGACTCCACACAAAACAAACGTAACCACATCACCACTTTCAGTTAGCCACACAGTTAGGCATCTCATCACAGCTTGGCTGCAAAACTGCACAAAGTACCCTTGGCATTTAACCTTGGCATCTAGTCAAGACATACATCCACCAGCAACCTCCAGTCTTCTAACTTGCCTATAAGGGGAGGTTTCAGTGGCCACCTGACAGCGCTGAACTTTCTTTTCATCACCTTCCTTTCTCAAGGCACACGTATAAAACATTCCTTGTTAAAATGTCACACTTCATGAAGTGATATTTGCACATTTTTTCAATTATTTAGACTCAAAGACTTTTGTATGGCAGTTCTTGGAAACATTATCAAAGGGCTACAAATCAAATCTACTATTTCAGTCTTTTTAAGCTGAGCAGCTGCAGCTCTCAAACCAATGGCATTTCATTAGCTTTTATGCCTTTCTCTAATTTCTGAATAAAGCAAAGTGAAAAAGGAGTATAAAACCACAGCAGCTGTACTCTGAGATTACTTTTAATATTGATAGCCTTTTGTTTTTAACAATGCAATTTTATTATCCTGTAACTAAAGTGATTTCTTTATACTGGTAAATATTCTTAAACAGCATTTTAAAGTGCAGGTCTGTTTTTAAATGGGAGAGAGCAATTTCCTTTGTTAATAGTTTAATGTGTGTTTATTTGAGACATAAAATGAACAAACAAGCATACTGCAAAGTAATTGCCAGGAACATTTGTAAGAGTCTTTAACCACAGAATATATTTCTGTAGCATAGCATTTGTCTCTAAGTAAATATTAATCCAATCTCAAATGAACACATCAAGGTGATTTACATTAACTTTTGGCAGGACTTGTTTTCAGTTTTCTGATTCTGAAAATACAGAAAGAGGTGGATAAATGACAATTTAAAGGGTTAAGAAGAGCTACTAATGAATTTGTAGAGATCAAGTTGATTAGAATGTTTTCCTTACTAGCAGAACAGACACGACAACCAAGGAAATTAAAAATGTTCATTTTCTCCTACATCAGTTTTAGAAAATTCACCTTCACTGAAGGCTCAGTTCTTCAAGATAAACAGTAGATTCAATTCCCATGATTGTCAGCAGGAAGAGGTACACAGCATCCCACAGTATTGTTTCAAAAGAAATTTCAAGTTTTACACCAACGTTCAGACCTCCACAGCAAGCTCCCCGATACAGGATAACAAAAACCCAATATTTTTCTCATTTCCATGACAACTAACTTGCTACTTGTTTCTAGTTAACAGCAATGTCTCTCACGCAGAGTACTCTATCACATTATTTCCCTGGATACTGACATCCTTACCTTACTCCCTTCCTTCTAAAACTTCGTCTCAATCCAGGAAGGCCCAATGCAATGCTGACTTACAGTATTTCAACTGCTGACTACCAGAGTTTCTCTGATCTATGCTAACCTCAGAAGACACTGGAATGATTTGACAGTTACCAGTAATGTTGCCAATTGTACTATGCCAACCATTATGAAGTGTGACTACAAAGAAGAGACACTAGAGACTAGACACGTATCCAGAGGGCCACCAGGTATATGCCAAGGGTCACATATTTCTACAAAAGAAGTTTCAGAGCTCTCTTTCAGAGCACAGAAAGCAGTGAAAATAAAAACGAATGCAAGCTGGTATGTAACTTTGCAAAAACACCCAAGCATCAAACAGTAATGCAATTTAAGAAGGTGAAAACTTACCAGTCTCTCCTCTTCTGCCCCGCTTACCTCTTTTCCCTGGAGGACCTAAAAAGAAGATGGTACATTTTAACAATTTGTCTTGAAATGAAACATGTAGAATATCATTTGAGTTTGATGCTCAGAAACAGCTGTATAAGACAGTCAGAGAAAGATCCAGATGGAGTTGAGCAGGGTCAAAGATAAACAACGATTCAGGAAGCCAAAGATGAAATGAAGAGCTATGATATGCAGTACAGTCTCCGAGGAAAAAAAGGCTGAGAGAAACCACAGAGGTTGTCTAGCTCATCCCTCTTTCTCATGGCGCAAGTCAACTACTTTGAAAATATTCCTACAACTTCCACAGACTTGTTTCCCCTAGTATTTATTTCACTGTTCTAATGACAAGAGCATTTTTATGTCCAAATTACTGCACAGAAGCTCATCAATTCTTATGCTAGCCACCACAGGCCTCAGATTAGACAGAATTCCTTTTCACTCCATTAAGTACAAAACCAAACCAAAAACTACATCTCAAGTCTTTGTATTTTTATATTCCTTTGAATTACTATGCCTTTCCTTCAATCTTCTTAAGTCTAATTTATCACAAAGCATTAAATTGCTTTCAGTTATTCCTACAGAAAGCAAGGTTAGCGTGTATTTCCAAGAGAACATCTTCTTATAAAAACAACCTGCCCTTACCTGAAAATATTGATAGAAATAATGACAAAGAAACCCTTACTTGACTCCCCACACCCCAAATACGAACAACTTGTCTAGGTTGCTTTGCTTCCAGTTTACATGTTTGCCTTAATAGACCAGCTTGGTCCTCTTATACTTTTTGCTAAGGAAACCCTTATTAGCCATAGTTCTTTCCCCACAAACATTCACATACTACAGTAAGAGTTTTCTGCAGTCTGTAAAGAAAATATTTTTTGTCATTCATTTATGCACTTCAACACCCTCCCTAAACTGCAGGCATCAATATCACATTCCTCTTTTCTTCTTGACAAACTGTTCTTGTAGTGCAGGAATGCACAGTCACCTCTCCCTGTACAGCTAGAATGAAATGGGACAGCTTCTGTCTTGTTCTAATAAGGACAGTGGTGGCATAATGCAATGCAAGTTTAAGACAACAAAATTAAGACATTAAAGACAAAAAGAACAGCGGAGAATATTCATTATCAACAGAATATCAAGCAAATGAGAATATTTTGCTGTTATATCTGAAAAGCTTCTTTATGAAAACATGTAGCTTTCTCCTGAAACGCTCTGGTCTCTGCAAGAGGTACATGGACACTTCTTACACAGAAAAAAACTTGTTTCATGCAATATATTTATATGTAGGCTTTTTTCCCAACATTTTTTTCCAGCTCTGAACACTGAAACTTGTCAGTTTCCTTATGCATCCCTGCAGTCATGCATCAGCCTGCTGTGAGATTTCTCTGGCTGCCCCAAGCTCCCAAATATGAGTACGCAGAAGTTTGGGCTGATCACACACAGACGTGCAAAAGAAAACTATAAGCTTATTTACCTGGAAACAATATTTTCTTTTCTGTCCTTCAGCATAAAACAACAAGATATTCAGTCTGTTTTGTGGAATACTATTTTATTACACTTCAGCTGCACCATAGGTGTGCACATGCATATATGCACATCTACTGCCAAGTTCTCTCTTGAGAAAACAGAGCTTCAGAACTAAAAAACTTCTGCCTTCTGCTTGTCTGCAGCCGAACCACAAAGAGAAAACCATGAGGCCAATCCCAAGCTATGGATATTAGGAAACAGGGAATTTCATCCAGTAAAACAGCTTTCCATAGTAAAATAACCTGCCAGTTGGATAGCTACCTGCAGTGATGGCAAATAACAGGTTCTACGAACAGTTCTTCCCTCTGACACCAAGCACAGATCCTTCCCAAACCACTACTCTGAGGAGACTAGATTCAGATGCGTGCAAATATTCAGCATTGGATAATTATTACAACATTCCCAAAGCAAGCACAACATGGAAGTTAGGAAAATCATTCTGTAGCAACAATGAACTTGATCCCTGGCCAGATATGAGCAACTACCTTTTCCACCCCCTAATAGCTTTTTACACTTCTGCACTACTCTGGACTCTTTCAAGGCAGTGGCCTTTGTAAACCCTTCAGAAACTGAGAAATGAGAGGCTCATTGCAAGGGCTCTCAACCCATTGAGAGCTTCCAAAGAAATTTTTTTTTCTATATTTCTTTATTTTTACCGGTACAAAACAATGCTTTTTAAGCACTTTGTCACAGATGGTTCCGATTCACAGAAACGCTCACATGTAAGACCATCATTAGATGACCTACTGCCTCAGAATGCACATGAGCTTTCATCTTTTTCCTGAACAGGCTGCTTTCCCTACATTTTAACTGTTAACATCATCTGCTGCTCTAACCAATTCCGCTTATCAAAACCTGGGTATTTTGCTATAAATATGAGTTTCCCATCTGCCTGGAGTTCTTATAACTTTGCACTAATTGGAGGATGTGGTGAAGATTCATTGCAGCAACAGGAACAGTCAATGGAGTCAGAGGCACAACTTCATCTTACAAAGTCCATTTTTTTTTTTTTTTTTTTTTTTTTTTTTTTTTTTTTTTTACAGCTTGCACAAGGATACAAGACTATGATGTAAATATTCTGAACTTTCATGACCAGGATAAAAATCTCTCTACAATATTACTAGAAAGATCCGTGCTGAATTGAATTTAATACAGAGCATTTAAGTAGTAGTTTCTTTTAAACATATATGCATATTAAAAATGGATACTTTATAATGAAAAACAAAGGTCAAATCTCAGCAGAATGAGCTGCCTTAATAAAAATTGACGATACTGAGGAATAAGCAAAAGTTAACTTATAGTAGCTAAGTTTGCCAATACATTGTTTTCTTAAGCTTACTAGTTTTTTCTGTAGGTAGGTAGTAAAAGCAAATTGCCCAAGGATCAGCTGTTTTTCATTGTTAACTCAGTTGAGCTTCACAATATTAGAAACTATTTTATTTTACCACAACCATTTATGAGCCTAACTTTTATGAAATTTCTTGGTTGTTTTTTTTTTAATGCTTAAGAAACAAAAATTTAACACCATATCTACGAAGATAATTTTGAAAATGAAAGAAATAAGGAGATGTTTTTATTTAAAAAGTCAAATAGTTATCTTCTCAAGCACAAGACATTAGCTGTCATCTCATCCACCCAGAAGGGACTGATGCATTAAAAACAAACAAACAGAGTTCAGCTAGATAAAAAGCTTTAGACTTTGAGACGTGATATTTTAACAGAATTGTAAGCAATAGGAAGTATCAATTCAATATAAAGTACCAAGTCAGTACTGAGTAGCTTTGGCTACTTATGTCACAGTAGTTCAGAGAAAACTGGCCTTCTGGTGGAGAATGGGGTTCATCTCTCAGAGAAGGGAAAGACCATCTTTGACTACAAGCTTTCCAATTTAATCGGGGAGCCTTAAACTAGAATTATCAGGGGATCGAACCATTCCACTTTGAGGGTGATGATCATAATGAATGCCCTGGGCCCAGAGTTGGATTGCAGGCCATGAAGGCAGCACCCTAAGGAGCAGGATAAGGGAACTCCAATTGGTAAATCAGCCTCTACATCACTGACCAACTGGAGTCCATCCCCAGTCTCCACCTGGGGATGGATGAGGAGCTGACAGGAAGCTTATGGGTTAGGGTTAAAGGGACAGCAGGGGAAGGAGACATTGCAATGGGGGTCTGCCTGACCAGGAAGATTGAGTAGATGAGGCCTTTTATAAAAAGATGGGAGTAGTTTCACATTCACAAAACATGGTCTTCATGGGGGACTTAAACCAGTCTGATATCTGCTGAAGGGACAACACCGCATGGAACAAGGAATTGAAAAGATTTCTGGAATGCATTGATGATAACTTCCTCTTCCAAGTGGTACAGGAACCCATAAGAAGAAGTGCTGTGCTGGACCAACAAAGAAAGGCTAAGCAAGCAATGTAAAGCTCAAGGCAGCCTTGGTTGCATTGATCATGAAATGGTGCATTTCAAGATCCCTAGGACATCAAACAGGGTACGCAGCAAGCTTGCTACTCTGGACTTCAGGAGAGCAGACTTTGACCTCTTCAGGGAAAGCCTTGCATGGTGACGTGGGAGAAAGCCCTGGAGGGAAGAGGCTCAAGAAGGCTGGTCAGCATTCAAGAACCATCTCCTCCAAGCTCAGAAGCAGTGAATCCTGAGAAAAAGGAAGGTAGAAAAGAATGCCAGGAGGCCTCCATGGATCAACAAGTTGGACTTGGAAAAAGAAAGTCTATGGGAAGCAGAAGCGGGCTGCCTGGCAGGACTACACAGAAATTATATGAGCAACCAGGGATCAGGTTAGGAAAGGTTCAACACAGAATTAGATCTAGCTAGGGACATAAAGGGAAACAAGGAGAAATTCTAAGAAATTCTACAGGTATATTAATGACAAAAGGGAGGCCAGGGAAGATGCATGCCCTCTCCTGCAGGAAACTGGAGATCTGGTCACAAGAGATACAAAGAAACCTGAGGTGCTCAATGACTGTTTTGCCTCAGACTCTATTGGCAATGGCTATAGTCCCACTGCCCCCCCAAAAATGTAAGAAGTGGAAGAGGAAAGATCTGCAGAGATCTGTGTCTCTTCAGCCTAGGGAAGGCTCCAGGGGGACCTTATAGTGTCCTTCCCATACTTAGAGGGGAACTACAGGAAAGCTGGGAAGTGACTCTTATAAGGGCATGTAGTGACAGGACAAGGAGAAGTGACTTTAAACAGGAATAAGGTAGATTTAGACTAGGTATCAGGAAGAAATTCTTCACTGCGAGGACAGTGAGACACTGGAACAGGTTGCCCAGAGAGGCTGTGGATGCCCCCCTCCCTGGAAGCATTCAAGGTCATGCTGAGTGGGGCTTTGGGGCTTTGGTCTGTGGGAGGTGTCTCTGCCTGCAAGGGACATGGACTGCGAGGCTGCAGCCAATTCCTCCTCACCTCCTTCATTTCATCCAACTAAAAATAAAAGTTAGTCTCAATAGTCTTTAGAG